TGTGTGAACTGAGTTCGCTAGCAATATAGATTCTTCTTTACCTTTTTGCGGAAGAGATGGCGATAATTGAAATGGCTGATTTTGGAAAGGCGTTTGACACATGCGATCATGGAGTGGTATCGCACAAATTGAGAGCCATGGGCATTACAGGGAAGGGAGGCAGATGGATTTTCGGGTTCCTAACACAAAACACTAAAAGTAGTAATAAACAGGGCAAGATCCAGCATCAGCGAGGTCAAAAGCTCAGTGCCCCAAGGCACTGTCCTGACACCTTTGCTGTTTCTCATCCTCATAGCAGACATAGATAAAAACACCCGTCACACTTTTGTATCATTTGCAGATGACACTAAAATAAGCATCAAAGTCACTACTGTAGAGGACACTGAAAAATTACAAAAAGACATAAGCAAGGTTTTCCAGTGGGCAGTGGAGAATAACATAACGTTCAATGATGATAAGTTCCAGCTGCTTAGGTATGGAAAGTATGAAGAACTCATGAGGCACACTATATACAAATCTCAAGAGGGTCACCAAACTGAACGAAAGGAGCACGTAAAAGACTTGGGAATAATTATGTCGGCTGACATTTCTTTTAAAGCACATAACAAGACAAATATCACGACAGTCAGGAAGATGACGGGGTGGGTATTGAGAACTTTGAAAAGTGAAATAATGCCAGTGGTGACACTCTTCAAATCGCTAGTGCTCCCTCATTTAGAATGTTGCTCAGTGCTGATGGCCCCGTTCACAGCAGGAGAAATATCAGAGCTGGAACAAATACAGAGATCGTTTACGGTTCACATTGAGCCAGTAGAGTACCTAAATTACTGGGAATGCCTTTAAGTCTTGAACATGGATTCATTGGAGCGGAGAGAGAGATACGTGATAATATATACACCTGGAAAGTACTCGAAGGCCTGGTCCCAAATCTGCACACTGCTATAACGTACTAGAGTGAGAAATATGGAAGGAAGTGCAAAATAAACCCAGCGAGGAGTAGGGGTGCGATGGGAACAATAAGAGAACACTGTATCAACATCTGGGGTCCCAGACTATTCAGCATCCTACCAGAATATATCAGAAACACGGCTGGAATAGGTGTAGAAGTATTACAACCCAGGAGTCCAAATGACCTGTTATCCTGGGTGTAAAGGGAGCAAAGTAAACACAACAGAAAACTTTTGACTTATATTATCCTTCAACAATTTAGAACAGAAGTATGTACACTATATACACTATGTACAGTGATAGGTATTAGTGCACTCCACGGTAAGCAAGGCAGAATAGAAGCCACTAGAGAGCAGACCGTGCTTCAACCAGCTCTAGAATGGGAATGACAAGGGCAGACAGGAGAGTGGTACCCACATAACCTCTGCAATTGCCAAAACCATCTTCTTATTGGCTGGAACCTGGTTACTAGTTGAACGACAGGGCCCCATTGTCAACTCTCAGTCACCTGGTTCGCTGGTTGGGGAGATACCCTGTAAATGAGGGTGTGTACATGCGCTGAAAAAAGGTTATGTACTCTTTCCATGCCACACCCCCACCCCGAGAAGGTTCAGGATTAGGCTGCCACCTCCCAGTGGTAACCGTGCCGCCATGGCACGGTTACCAAGGCCAGCTCAGCGTGGACAGAAACCTCGCATAGAGCAAAAGAGCAAATGCTGGCTTGATCCGGATTCTCAGTACGAATACAGACTGCGAAAGCAAGGGCTATCGATCCTTTTGACTTTAAGAGTTTTAAGCAAGAGGTGTCAGAAAAGTTACTACAGGGATAACTGGCTTGTGGCAGCCAAGCGTTCATAGCAACGTCGCTTTTTGATCCTTCGATGTCGGCTCTTCCTATCATTGTGAAGCAGAATTCACCAAGCGTTGGATTGTTCACCCACCAATAGGGAACGTGAGCTGGGGCTAGACCGTCGTGAGACAGGTTAGTTTTACCCTACTGTTAAAGGTGTGTCGTTGCGACAGCAGTCCCACTCAGTGCGAGAGGTCCCGGGTTCATCTCCCGGACAGGCCCCTATATTACAACCCAGGAGTCCAAATGGCCTGTTATCCTGGGTGTAAAGGGAGCAAAGTAAACACAGAAAACTTTTGACTTACATTATCCTTCACCAATTTAGAACAGCAGTATGTACACTATATACACTATGTACAGTGATAGGTATTAGTGCACTCCACGGTAAGCAAGGCAGAATAGAAGCCACTAGAGAGCAGACCGTGCTTCAACCAGCTCTAGAATGGGAATGACAAGGGCAGACAGGAGAGTGGTACCCACATAACCTCTGTGATTGCCAAAACCATCTTCTTATTGGCTGGAACCTGGTTACTAGTTGAACGACGGGGCCCCATTGTCAACTCTCAGTCACCTGGTTCGCTGGTTGAGGGAGATAGCCTGTAAATGAGGGTGTGTACATGCGCCAAATAAAGGTTACGTACTCTTTGCATGCCACAAGAAGCCTTCAAGAGGAAACTGAGCAAGTATCTTCAGGTGCCAGATCAACTAGGCTATGATAGATATGTGGGGCAGCAGGCCTCCAGCAGCAACAGCCTGATTGACCAGGCAAGCACCAAACGAGCCTGACCCATGGCCAGGCTTCGAGAGTAGTGAAACTCAACACTTCATCACTGATAAGTTGGTAATGCAAATTCTGATCTGCTGCAAACTTAATGTGTTGGTGTATTTTAGTATATTGGTCTCGCTGGTGTAAGGGAATGCCTCTTTAGATTGGCTTCAAACCTGGTGTTTCTTAATGGTAGGTTTAATTTACTTCGGGTTGTGTATGTCTTAATTTAGTTTTGGGTTGTGTTTGTCCTAATTTAGTTTCGAACTGTGTACTAATTTGCCATTCTTATTGAAATTAGGATAGTTTCCTTATGATAACTTGTGACCACCTTTTTTGATTGTCTTCAGATCTTCCACACAAATATGTAACTGCATTAGAATGCTATGCATCGCTCTGCACCACTATCATGTGCACTGAGGTAGATGTGGCTGAGGTTATGTGATACGGGGATACCCATCTCGGAGCACACTGCAAAAGAAATATACCTAGTTAGATCTCACTGCTGCTTCGTTTGTACTGCAACTGGAATGTTGTTATAACATACGGCTGACGACCGTGGCCATTCTTTGCTGTAAAAGCTGAAACTGTATTAGTTTGTAAGTAACAAGTCTAGTTAGTAGTCTTGAAAGTCTGAAGTTCCAGTAGTTGGCACACTGCACATCCTAACAACATTACTTTATAAACTCCATCAATGATTTTCATGTAGAAACATTTAGTTTAAATCCAAACCTTAAAACCTATGTTTTGCCCAGTTTTATTTAAATTATAATGCATCAAGTGGCAAGTCACGTTGTCCATTAATGAAAGTTTCTTTTATCCCATGGTAGATCTTCGCCACATACTCAGGATAAAACTAATATGAACGTTCACAATGTTTCATTAAGCTTTGTGGTTAACTGAGGCTTTTAGTTATCTGTGTAGGAGTTACCTTAGTTACCTGGCTCAACACTAGTCCAGCTGGCACGGCACTGAGTGAGAGACAAACATATTCGTGTGTGTTGTGTGTGTCTGAGAGGTAGAACAAGAATTAAAACAGATGAGAGAGGATGATGGGGTGGACATCTCCGAGAGAGGGGGGAGAGAGAGGAGGAAATGGAGAGGAGGACATTGGTAATTTTTTTTTTTGAGAAATAGAAAGAATGAGAATGAATTCAGATGAGAGAGGATGACAGGCGGACATCTCCACAGAGCCGTGATGGACCCAGCAGCTGCCAGTGGTGCCGTCCCCCGGCCCTCAGAACCACTGCTACCAGGCCAGGTGAGTTATCTTCTAGTTTATGCTTTCTCCTGCTCTCATGACAATTACTGATACAGATATTTGTGTTTATTAGTTGTCTTTATGTATACTGTTATCTCATGCTTATATGCACAGGTGCCGACGGTGGACGCCAAGGAAGCAGTGGGGGAACACAAGCAGGTGACCTCGATGACTGATGCTGCAGTGAAGGCTCCATTACCTGTGGCTGTCGATGTTAAACCTACAAAATTGGACACTGTGGTTAGTGCAGAAAGCGGCAAGGTCGCTTTGTCTCAAGAACACGACGATAACGACGACGTAGTAGTGCAACCCACGACAGTGACTGCACACCACAATGGTACACTCAATGGCGACTTTACGTCTTTGTCTACCACATCTCCGCCAAAGAAGGAAGATACGCTGAAGGATAAAGAAAAACAGGATAAACCCGGTGAAAAGGTAGACCCTAGTATTAAGCCAGAAGAACCCTGTTCCAAGGTGACGACAAAAGACAGCCAACAGGCTGTTTCAGTCACCATTGACAGCAAAGAAGCTAATGGCGAGCCTCACTCTGACGACGACAGACGAAGCCAGGGAGCTGATGCTTCACCTGTAAATGGTTCCACGGACGACAAAGGTGCGACGCCATCTCAGGAGACGGAGCGAGGTAGCCCAAGAGAAGACGGGGCTCCAGCGAGAGAATCGCCGGCGACAGTAAAGGCGCTCGGGGCAGGTAATGGGAAAGGTGCTACAGGTGGTGCAGGTGATGGTGGGGCAGGGAATGGGGGAAAACCTGTTTGTGATACAGAGAAAGAGGAGAAACACAAAGTCGAGGAGAAAGAGAAGCACGAAGACGAGAAGAAGGAGAAAGACCTCCAAGAGGCAAAGACCAAAAGTGCAGATGGAGGTGCCAAAGAAAAAGCTCACCTTGAAGAGAAGGAAAAAGATGATGGCAAAGATGAAGAGGCGGCCCCTGAGGGGAGCAAAGACGGTGCTAAGATGGCCAAGGTTGATGCAACGCTGAAAGAAGTGAAAGACACTGCAGTAAAGAGTGTTAGCGAAGTGCTTAAAAATGACAAGGTTGCCAAAGATGACAAAGTTGTCAAAGATGACAAGGTTGTCCAAAGATGACAAGGTTGCTAAAGATGAAGTAGGTAAAGTTGAGAAGGCTGATAAAGACGAGAAGACACCTAAGGATGACAAAGGTGATGTTTCGGTGAGTACTGGAGAGAGGGCAGAGGCAGCGGAGGAGACGATAGAAAAGGCAGAAGCCCTTGTCTGCGGCAAGCCTGCCGCCACAGTCGACGAAAAGGATGATAAGGTCAAGGATAAGGAAAAGGACGAGAAAGAGGAGAAGGGAAAAGAGGACGAAAAAGAGAAGGAGAGTAGTAAAGTAGGGGAAAAAGAGGAAGATTTAAGTGAAGTGAAAGAAAAATCTAAATCTGAAGACAAACCAGAGGACAAAAGTAAAAGTGAAGAAAAGGTCAAAGCAGAGGAAAAAATCAAAGGAGACCAGAGTAAAGAGGAGGTAAGGGGAAGGATAAAGAAGAAAAGGCTAAAATAGAGGAAAAGAGTAAAGATATTAGCAAGGAGGAAGAAAAACCTAAAGCAGAAGATGTTGGTAAAGTCGAGGACGAAAGTAAAGCAGAAGACAAGAGTAAAGAGGAGGAGAAAAGTAAAGTAGAAGATAGTAAAGAAGAGAAAATTGAAGATAAGACTAAAGTAGATGTTAGTAAAGTAGAAGCAACGGTTCAATTAGAAGAAAAGGTCAAAGAAGATGTTAGCAAAGAAGAAAAGGTCAAAGTAGATGTTAGCAAAGAAGAAAAGGTCAAAGTAGAAGATGTTAGCAAAGAAGAAAAGGTCAAAGTAGATGTTAGCAAAGAAGAAAAAGTCAAAGTAGATGTTAGCAAAGAAGAAAAGGTCAAAGATGATAGCAAAGAAGAAAAGGTCAAAGTAGATGATGTTAGCAAAGAAGAAAAGGTCAAATTAGAAGATAGCAAAGAAGAAAAGGTCAAAGATGATGTTAGCAAAGAAGAAAAGGTCAAAATAGAAGACAGCAAAGAAGAAAAGGTCAAAGTAGATGTTAGCAAAGAAGAAAAGGTCAAAGTAGATGTTAGCAAAGAAGAAAAGGTCAAAGTAGATGATAAAGAAAAGATCAAAATAGATGTTAGCAAAGAAGAAAAGGTCAAAGATGATGTTAGCAAAGAAGAAAAGGTCAAAGATGATGTTAGCAAAGAAGAAAAGGTCAAAGATGATGTTAGCAAAGTAGAAGAAAAGGTCAAAGTAGAGGATGTTAGCAAAGTAGAAGAAAAGGTCAAAGTAGAAGATGTTAGCAAAGTAGAAGAAAAGGTCAAAGTAGAAGATGTTAGCAAAGTAGAAGAAAAGGTCAAAGTAGAAGAAAATTAGAAAGTAGAAGTGAAAAAGGTCAAAATAGAAGATGTTAGCAAAGTAGAAGAAAAGGTCAAAGTAGAAGAAAAGGCCAAAGTAGAAGAAAAGGTCAAAGTAGAAGAAAAGGTCAAAGTAGAAGAAAAGGTCAAAGTAGAAGAAAAGGTCAAAGTAGAAGAAAAGGTCAAAGTAGAAGATGTTAGCAAAGTAGAAGAAAAGGTCAAAGTAGATGTTAGTAAAGTAGAAGAAAAGGTCAAAATAGAAGATGTTAGCAAAGAAGAAAAGGTCAAAGTAGAGGATGTTAGTAAAGAAAAGGTCAAAGTAGAGGATGTTAGTAAAGAAGAAAAGGTCAAAGTAGAAGATGTTAGTAAAGTAGAAGAAAAGGTCAAAATAGAAGATGTTAGCAAAGAAGAAAAGGTCAAAGTAGAGGATGTTAGTAAAGAAAAGGTCAAAGTAGAGGATGTTAGTAAAGAAGAAAAGGTCAAAGTAGAGGATGTTAGTAAAGAAGAAAAGGTCAAAGTAGAGGATGTTAGTAAAGAAGAAAAGGTCAAAGTAGAGGATGTTAGTAAAGAAGAAAAGGTCAAAGTAGAAGACAAGAGTAAATTAGAAGAAACTAGTAAAGAGGATGACAAGGAAAAGAGTAAAGAGGAGGTTAAAGAGAAGCTTAAAGAAGAAAGTAAAGTAGAAGCTGCGGTTAAAGAAGACAAAGGTAAAGCCGAAGAAGTTGCCAAAGAGGAAAAGAGCAAATTGGAAGATAAAGCAGATGCAAAGTCCGAAGTCGCTGGCAAGGAAGCAGAAGAAAAGAAGAAAGTTGGAGCTGAAGCAGAAGGGAAAGAGGTGGAGAAGAAAGAAGAGGCCGCACCTTCTGTCAAGGATAGTGACTCTGAAAAGGAGAGTGGGATAGGCAAGGAGAGCGATAAGTCTGAAGAGGATAGAACGCAAGACGAAGAGGAAGATGATCTAGTTATCGACGGTGTGCGAGAGAAGAAAGGGGTGATAACGGCGGAAGAGGATAAGATGGAGGAGAAGAAGGGTGGAATACCAGAAAAAGCCGAGCCTCAGAAAGATAAAAAAGAGAAAGCAGAACCAGCAGACAAAGAGAACGGTGAGGGGAAAGTGGATAAGACGGAGGAGGAAGAAGAGAAGGCCGCAGAAGCAGAGGAAACAAAGAAAGATGCAGATGAGATAACAGTGAAACCTGTGGAAGTGGAGAAGAGCGGCGAAGAAGCTAAGGAAAAATCAAAAGAATTAGAAAGTGATAAAAAAGAAACTAAAGAGGAGGAAACAGCGAGTAAGACAGAGGAACCCGTTAAAAAGAGCGAGAAAGATGAAAGGAAAGAAGACGATGAAGCAGCGGGTAAAGTGGAAGAACCAGAAGAACCAAAAGAGGATGCAGTAGAGGAGAAACAAGGAGAAGAAAAAGCTGATGTCAAGGAAGAAGAGGAAAGACCGCATGAGGGGGAGGCCGAAAAAAAGCTGACGAGGGTGAAGCTGGGGAACCTCAGCCCGAGGAAGCTGGGGAACCTCAGCCCGAGGAAGCTGGGGAACCTCAGCCCGAGGAAGCTGGGGAACCTCAGCCCAAGGAAGCTGGGGAACCTCAGCCCGAGGAAGCTGGGGAACCTCAGCCTGAAGAAGCTGGGGAAGAAGATGGGACACAGCAAGAGGAGTCTGTTCCGCCAGCCGATAAACCAGAAGGGGAAGAAAAGGGAGAGATGGAAGCTAAAGAAGGAGACCAGGAAGAAAAGGAAAAGAAGAGGACTGTGTCGTCTAAGAAACCTCGCAAGTCTGCCCGACGGAAACGTGCAGGTGCGAAAGGTGGGGCGTGGATTCTCACCCCCTCCCCTAGGTGGTGGGATCTTCTGCCCCTTCCTTCCTCCCACCTGGCCCTCACTGCCTGGTGCTCGCTCCCTTCTCACATCCTTCACAAATTTATCTGGTATAATAACATTCAACTCGAGGAAAGCACTAAGGTTGCCTCGTAATATTAACAACACTGAATTGCAACCACTTCCATTGTTGCTCACCCAAATGTCTCTGCTAGTCACACTAGTGACGCTCATGATGTGGATGTTTTGATTAGTTTTATTCAAAAGGCGTGGGAGGATGGGCAGGCAGGCGAGGCGCCGGGAGGCAGACTGTGTGTGGGAGTCAGGTTAGATTGGCCAGGCCTTGAGACGCCACCCAGCCAAGCTATAGACACACACACACACACACACACACACACACACACACACACACACACACACACACACACACACACACACACACACACACACAATCACAAGCGCACACGGGCAGACACACACTCAGTGCGACTCAGGCCACTCCAGCCCTCCAAAGCCACAGCTCAGACATAGGAACTCAGGGCTTACGACAGAAGAGAAAACAAAATTAGTTTAGCAAATGAGGAAAATCCTGAGCGAGGTATTTAGAGGATGATAGAACTGAATGGTAGTGAAAGCATTACGAATCCATCTTCCTTGTCTTGAATTGGAGAGGGTAAAAGGTGCCTTCTAAATTTATGATGAGCTTACAAGGAATTGGATTTTGAGACGAGTTAGGGTGGTCTTGAATTGTACCAGAAGCTGAAGGGATGGGGAATTATTAGTGCCTTGAGGAACACTCTGTGTTTGTTAAGAACCTTGATAATTTTATAGGTTATTTACTGCTCCCGGGAGGATAGTAATAGAGAACCTACATTGTGTGTAATATTATGTAACGATCTAATGTCTTTTTTCAACTTTGTGTAGAGTGTAGAAGATCAAAGTAGTTACTAACAAGCAAGTTGCAATACATTTAGAGTAACTAGTAGATCTAGTGTAATATAGTCAGGACACTAAGAAGTGCACCCTTCGTAGTGACACAGGGAATAATGTAAGAAAGAAGCTTAGGTAGCACTAGCACTGTGATGGTCACAGGATGCTCACAGCTCGAGAATCTTTCATCAAAACATTGTGAAGGAATGATGCTGGTGGGCTGTGATTACTGCTAGAAAGTGATACGATACTAATAGTTACTAACCATATTTATTGCTTAGTGTTTTCTTGGGAAAATGATGGGATAGATTCTATGAGCTAACATAGTCCAGTGAGAAGGCCAGGAGGGATGTAGGTGGGACTGAGTGTGTTGGGTGGAGTGTCTGCCTGGGTTACTCTAGAGTCTAGCCTGACGCTGTAGTCGTAGTGCAGTAGTCGCGTGGCACAGCTGCTGTGTGGAGCTTCCCTCTTGGATGCATTTTCCACCTGCTTAGGAAAATGCAGCTTAGAAGGTTATTAGAGCACCATACTCTCGTGCACTTAAATATCTTGTGTTGGTGCAATTAATTTCCATAAAAAAGGTCTGAACAGCAAAAAAGGAAGTGTATAATGAATTAGGAACATTGCTAGTAACTGTCGGGGTACGACTCCTTTAATTAATATGAGCAGCCACGACCCGTTTCCCGTAACTTGAGTCAGTAACACAAGATATTCAAGAGTGTTGCTCACAGTGGCCTCCACGGGTAGAGTTTCCCGGCTTTTGACGTCTTGAGAAGCTTGTGTAGTGAACACTAACACAGCTAGGCGTCAACTGCAGAGACTGGGTGTGCTTCCCAGCCATCGTAACACCATCTCATATGCACGGATTCTATACTGTTTACCTGCTAATGTTTTCCATTAGTGTCCTTCACTGTTTGCATTACAAGATCACTGTCAACAACACTTGGCATGTTTGTTGTGCCAATGGAAGGCCTGTCCCTGCACCTCAGTCTTCCTGTTTTTTTACGCTTCACCAAAAAAAAAAAGGAAGTTTCTTCAGTCTGTATTTGCATTGTCGTTGTACCTGCGAAGCAGTTAGAAAAATTACCAGTACCTGTCTCCAGAGGAAGAACAGAAATAGTGAAGTATGTGCCTGAGGACGGTCCTCACCGGTGCACCACCACACACGGTCCTCACTGGTGCACCACCACACACGGTCCTCACTGGTGCACCACCACACACGGTCCTCACTGGTGGCACCACCACACACGGTCCTCACTGGTGCACCACCACCACGGTCCCCACGGTGCACCACCACACACGGTCCTCACTGGTGACCACCACACACGGTCCTCACTGGTGGACCACCACACACGGTCCTCACTGGTGGACCACCACACACGATCCTCACTGGTGGACCACCACACACGGTCCTCACTGGTGGACCACCACACACGATCCTCACTGGTGGACCACCACACACGGTCCTCACTGGTGCACCACCACACACGGTCCTCACTGGTCGACCACCACACACGGTCCTCACTGGTGCACCACCACACACAGTCCTCACTGGTGGACCACCACACACGGTCCTCACTAGTGGACCACCACACACGGTCCTCACTGGTGCACCACCACACACGGTCCTCACTGGTGGACCACCACACACGGTCCTCACTGGTGGATCACCACACACGGTCCTCACTGGTGGACCACCACACACGGTCCTCACTGGTGCACCACCACACACGGTTCTCACTGGTGGACCACCACACACGGTCCTCACTGGTGCACCACCACACACGGTCCTCACTGGTGGACCACCACACACGGTCCTCACTGGTGGACCACCACACACGGTCCTCACTGGTGGATCACCACACACGGTCCTCACTGGTGGACCACCACACACGGTCCTCACTGGTGCACCACCACACACGGTCCTCACTGGTGGACCACCACACACGGTCCTTACTGGTGGACCACCACACACGGTCCTCACTGGTGGACCACCACACACGGTCCTCACTGGTGGACCACCACACTCGGTCCTCACTGGTGGATCACCACACACGGTCCTCACTGGTGCACCACCACACACGGTCCTCACTGGTGGACCACCAAACACGGTCCTCACCGGTGGATCACCACACGGTCCTCACTGGTGGACCACCACACACGGTCCTCACTGGTGGACCACCACACACGGTCCTCACTGGTGGACCACCACACACGGTCCTCACTGGTGCACCACCACACACGGTCCTCACTGATGGACCACCACACACGGTCCTCACTGGTGGACCACCACACACGGTCCTCACTGGTGGACCACCACACATGGTCCTCACTGGTGGACCACCACACACGGTCCTCACTGGTGCACCTCCACACACGGTCCTCACTAGTGGACCACCACACACAGTCCTCACTGGTGCACCACCACACACGGTCCTCACTGGTGCACCACCACATGGTCCTCACTGGTGCACCACCACACACGGTCCTCACTGGTGGACCACCACACACGGTCCTCACTGGTGCACCACCACACACGGTCCTCACTGGTGGACCACCACACACGGTCCTCACTTGTAGATCACCACACACGGTCCTCACTGGTGGACCACCACACACAGTCCTCACTGGTGGACCACCACACGGTCCTCACTGGTGGACCACACACGGTCCTCACTGGTGGACCACACACGGTCTTCACTGGTGCACCACCACACACGGTCCTCACTGGTGCACCACCACACACGGTCCTCACTGGTGGACCACCACACACGGTCCTCACTTGTAGACCACCACACACGGTCCTCACTGCTGGACCACCACACACAGTCCTCACTGGTGGACCACCACACGGTCCTCACTGGTGGACCACACACGGTCCTCACTGGTGGACCACACACGGTCTTCACTGGTGCACCACCACACACGGTCCTCACTGGTGGACCACCACACACGGTCCTCACTGGTGGACCACACACGGTCCTCACTGGTGGACCACCACACGCAGTCCTCACTGGTGGACCACCACACACGGTCCTCAGTGGTGGATCACCACACACGGTCCTCACTGGTGGACCACCACACACAGTCCTTACTGGTGCACCACCACACACGGTCCTCACTGGTGGACCACCACACACGGTCCTCACTGGTGCACCACCACACACGGTCCTCACTGGTGAACCACCACACACGGTCCTCACTGGTGGACCACCGCAAATGGTCCTCACTTGTGGACCACCACACACGGTCCTCACTGGTGGACCACCACACACGGTCCTCACTGGTGCACCACCACACACGGTCCTCACTGGTGAACCACCACACACGGTCCTCACTGGTGCACCACCACACACGGTCCTCACTGGTGGACCACCACAAATGGTCCTCACTTGTGGACCACCACGCACGGTCCTCACTGGTGGACCACCACACACGGTCCTCACTGGTGGACCACCACACGCAGTCCATACTGGTGGACCACCACACACTGTCCTCGCTGGTGCACCACCACACACGGTCCTCACTGGTGGACCACCACACGCAGTCCATACTGGTGGACCACCACACACGGTCCTCACTGGTGGACCACCACACACGGTCCTCACTGGTGCACCACCACACACGGTCCTCACTGGTGCACCACCACACACGGTCCTCACTGGTGCACCACCACACACGGTCCTCACTGGTGGACCACCACACGCAGTCCATACTGGTGGACCACCACACACGGTCCTCACTGGTGGACCACCACACGCAGTCCATACTGGTGGACCACCACACACGGTCCTCACTGGTGGACCACCACACGCAGTCCATACTGGTGGACCACCACACACGGTCCTCACTAGTGGACCCCCACCACACGCCTCACCGTCTATACAGGAGCCGTCAGCCTCGCTCGTGACGGCACTTACATCAAAACGCTTCAGGAACTTCTCTCGTAGTTTTGATATGACTGAGAGTTGTAGCCGCACCAGCAGCGAGAAACTTGGTGCAGAGCCTTGCTCACACCCAGTACTGCATGGCAACCACACAGACCACACC